TGGTCTAGAGTCTCATTTGAATTTATAGATTCTGGGCTAGAAAACCTTACAATACTTTTATTGAGGCATCAAAAAGCATATTTGCCTTTTTAATAGCTAAGTCACACTGCTAACTCATTCAGCTATAATTTTGAGGTCCTTTTCACACTTACTATTACCAAGACAGGTATTCCCCACCCTATACCCTGCTCTGCTCTGCTCCTGCTCCTGCTCCCTCCTTTGCATTTTCTTGAATCTGATTTCACCTATAAAGCCTTACATGGCTTGGGGCCTCATTATGTTTGATACTGCCTATTCCAGGTAGTATTTGCTTGCCTAGTACAAGTAAACAGGAAATTTTCCACTTATTGTGAGGTATGGCAGAAAAATCACATGGAGATGAGCATTCTCAGTGAATTTCTCCTCAGGTGAAAGCAGCCCCCATGCTCATGGATATCCAGAAACTTGTTAAGATGTAGCTTTTCTAGATGGCCTTTGGAGTTTGATCTTGGTCTGAGCCAGACATGGCACCAGAAATTTTGTTCATTGTTTAATGTTGTTATTCTTGCTTTTGATTATTGTACATATTGTGTAATTGCATATGCTTAGAGTCCATGGATTGAAGCAATATAGAATTCTTACAAATAAATATTTTTGTAATATTTGTAATATTTTTTTCTTCCAGTACATCTTGTGGATATCTGGAATATGATTGAAGCCTTCAGAGATAATGGCCTTAACACATTGGACCATAATACAGAGATCAATGTATCTCGACTAGAAACTATCATTTCCTCCATTTACTACCAGCTGAATAAACGCCTTCCATCTACTCACCAGATCAGTGTGGAGCAATCCATCAGCCTTCTCCTCAACTTCATGATAGCAGCATATGATAGGCAAGTGGTTTTGTTCTTGAAACAATCTGATCAAAAACTATGCAGGCTGGAATAAGCCTAAGGTCTATAGCACCCATGTTGGAGCATAGGTCAGTAGAAAGATTTTCTAACTACTAGGTCAGTAGAAAGATTTTCTAATTACTTTCAGTAGAAAGATCTTAGATTTTCTAACTATGGTTTGTTGAATTGGTTGAATTTACACTAATATTGAGTCAAAACCAAAACCAATCATTTTAAGACTTAGTTTAACATGTGAACACATTCTGTAAGATCTGCTATTTATCTGGATTAGAGGAAGAATTTTCATACAGGTAGTCCTCGGTTAACGACAGTAATTGGGACTAGAATTTCTGCTGCTAAGCAATGCAGTCACATGACTACATTGCTTAGTGACAGCAGTTTCAGCATTTCTCGGTTGCTGTCATTAAGTGAATTCCATGTCATCATTAAATGAGGATGTCACATGGTTACCATTTGTGACCTCTTGCCAGCTTCCCCATTGACTTTGGGTGTAGGAAGCTGGCAAAGAAGATTGCAAATGGTGACCATGTGACTGCAGGGAAGCTGCAACGGCCGGAACTTTGAGAATCGGTCATAAGTACCACTCATTCAGCGCCGTTGCAAGTTTGAACAGTCACTGAACAAGTGGTGCTTAAACAAGGACCACCTGTATTTTTCTTTCTTCTTTTCCCTTTTGTTTTGTGTCTTTTAGATTGTAATACTGGGAGCAGGAACTGCCTTGCTTTTCCTTGACTGTAAACTACTCTAGTGGGGTAAAAGTAAACATAGTGCTTTCTTTACTCAGATGCCTTCCATGTAAGATATCAAATTATGTATGGGCTTAGTAGCCAAAACTTTTTTTTCCTATTAGCCATTGAAGTGCCTGATAACTAAAGGATGCCTTTCCTTTTCCACTAGGCAACTAGCAACCTTTCCCTCCCACAGAATAAACAAGACTTAGTAGAGCAAATGCCATTGTTCTGTATAAGTTTAAGTCCTTTATAAGTTTTTTTTCTGAAAATTAAACATCCGCACTTCCCTAAAAAACATTATTGTGAGTATCTGTTTTGAAAGCCTGGGTTAAAAATGCCAGGAAACTATACTTTTTTCCTGGTCTTTGTTTCTTGTCTGTAAGTGCAGATAGACTTTTGATTTTTTGCTTGTTGCCCTAGTTTCCAGATGACAAAAGAGAACAGGTCTGTGCAGAGCTTTGGTTTGGTTTTTTGGATTTTTTTATTTTGTTGTGGAAATGGAAACTGAGAGAAAGAGAAGTCATTTTCAGTTCCTACAGAAGGAAGGAAGCAGAATGTAGATAACTGAAGGAAGTAAAAGGCAGTCAATTTACAAAGCAAACTTTTGCTTAAAATAAATCTACTAGTAGGTAGTATGAAAACTATAGGAATTTATTGCCTGGAAATTATTTGGAAGGATAAATTTGCAGGGTGAGGAATAGAGGCTAGGACTGCAAAATTTCTTTAGCAGCTATATTTGATTCAAGAAAGAGGGGAGAAGCAAAAGAGATTGAGTAGATTAACACATCACATTTGGTCAGTTTGTTTTAGCCATGAATAACCAATAAATAAGCCAATCAGAATATGAAAACAGACTTATCCAAAAATGTATTATAAGTTTTTTGTTGCTGTAGTATAATGTAACTTAAACATGCTTACCATACTAAGATCTCATCTGTGGTCTCTTGGTTTGGCAGAGGTACAAGAAGCCCTGTGCATATGATATCTAAATTATCATTGATTGTACATGTGTTCTTTTTATGGAAATTAAAATCCCATAAAACTTATTTTATAAGCAGTGTTCCTGTTTTCAGATAGAGCAGTATGTGCATTGTAGGTGTCTGACCTTGATTAACAATCCCAGAGACTGTTTGTTGTGTTGCATAATAAATGGATTCCTCTTCAGTTGAATTAGATGTCTTTCCCTGTAGTAGTTTTTTCTAGCACAGAAGTAGCATTTTGGACAAATACTGTTACCTATTGTCCTGTTGAATAAATTCGTGAGTGTCCATAAATCAGATGCATTCTTACTCCTGCAGTAATTTAAAATCTCTTATATCATGTAGTTAGTATGGCTTATCTTTTACAGTGAAGGACATGGGAAATTGACAGTATTTTCCATAAAAGCAATGTTGGCAACTATGTGTGGTGGAAAAATTCTGGACAAGTTAAGATGTGAGTACTTTGAGTTAATAACCTATTATTAAAATCTTACCATCAAACACCAACTTTGTGGCATTTTAAATGCTCAGCTTCTTCACTGCATTTCTTGCTATGGGATAGAATGAGATTATATAACATTATTACCCTTTGCTTTTTATTTTCTATTCAGATCAAAAATGGAATATCTTTATTTGCAAAATAGAAAGATGCTACTCTGTTCCCATGTCTGACTTTACTATGAATGTACCACATGCCCTATGCTAGGAAGATATAGCTCACAATATGTTAAAGAACTAGAAAACCCAACATTCCTCACTACTGACCATGCTCCTGCAGCTACTAGTTGTGGTTCCCCAACACCTGAGGGCTGCTGATTGTCCACCTCTAATTTAGTTGTACTTTCATATATGTTAGTATATGCTGGCCCAGCATCCTATTGTTAAATCCAGGAAGAGACTCTAAGTTCAGAAAAGAAGTTGCTAGGAAAGGGAGATGGCAGATGCTGACTGCTGCAAAATGCTTGTTGTTGGATGAATTGTGTGTAACAGTAGAAGTGGAGAGGATGTCTAGTATTACTGCTCTTATTCTATTTCCCTCCCCACTGATTCTAGCTACTAGATGACTCCATACTGCTGGATGTAAATGTTTCCTTTGTTTCACCAGACAGCAGAAGCTTGCTGCTCATCCCCCTCTATACATTTCTGGGTTACATAGATCTCCTTTTTATTAGAGTATATTGGATATCCCTAGGCTAAACGTGATTGAGATGGGCAAACATTTTCAGCAGGTAAAAAAACAAATGAAAAATACAAGAAACCGTGAAAATAATCATCCTATTCACACTGCCACAGTAACAATAAGCCAGCAAAAAATAATTGTCTAAAACGTAATTACTGCCCTAAAATAAACTATGGTTTATTCACCTATCCCCTTTTATGCATAATTTTTAGCCCAAACATAAAACACATTATGAGTTAGTGAGATGGTTGAACACAGCTATTAGCTGGCTTTCAATTAGACTTTTAAAGCAACTGGGCTAATGGGCTTCTCCTGGCCCTTCTCACTTACAGTACTCTCTCTGTTCCATTGGAATCTTGCTATTCCTGAGACTGGTCTTTTTCTTTCATTGTTTCTAGAAAACTGAAATCGGTAGTAAGAACTTAGCTGACATAATCTATGTTTCCATTCTAAGCAATGACATATATGTAATGAGCTACTGCTAGAAATGTCCTTCATATTCTCCTTTCATTAAGGCAGTCACAATTGTTCTTTGCCATTGATCGTCCGTGTTTGGACGATCCCTGCTTTGGTTTCTTTGGTTCCTGATCTTAGGAATTATGTTAGTTTATCTTCTGATAAGAAGTATGACTTTTGGAGTAATTATTATTGCACTACATTGTCTTGTGTGGAACCCATAAGTTTCACAGTTAATACCTTCATGCTATCCAGAAATATATATCAACATAAAACGTGGTTATGTCAGTAGGCTTGGGGATCTCAGGGAAATGGAGAACTGGTGAGATGTACCTAATGTCAAAGATGCTCTCTCCTAGTTTTTTTAAAAATAATATTAATGTTTTTATTATGGTATAAGTTTTAATGTTTTTTATGGTCTGCTTGTATTGTACGCTGCCAGGGTCACATACATGAGATGGGCAACTATATAAATGTGGTGAATAAATAAACAGCAGCAAAATACTTCAAGTGGATATCCCATTTTAAAAGTAGGACATTTGTTAAGGTCTTTCCACTATTTCCCTTTTCCCAACAAAAGGAAATTAGTTTGAAATGTTTAAAGGGACTTTTTTCAAATGAAGAGAAATTTAAAAACTGTTGCAGAGATTTTAAGGGAAGATTTGTAATATAAAAAGCTGCTTGAATAAAGCATTCTTTCATATGAGAGGATATGTTTGCACTACAAAAATAATGTGCTATGGTTAATTCATATCTCCCTTTGATTTGTATTTTAGATATTTTCTCTCAAATGTCAGATTCCAATGGACTGATGATATTTTCAAAATTTGACCAGTTTCTGAGAGAAGTTTTGAAACTTCCTACAGCTGTTTTTGAAGGGCCTTCTTTTGGATACACAGAAAACTCTGTGCGAACATGTTTTCCTCATCAGGTAAGCTTAATGTGAGAGGATTCCCAGGGCTTTAAATGTTGACTATATTCAGTGTACTCCAGTGAGTCTATGAAAGACTAGTGACTGACACAGATTCCTGATCTAAAGGGTGAGTACAGGTATTCCTTGACTTACAATCACAATTGGGACTGGAACTTCTGTCACTAAGTGATGCAGTCATTAAGTGAGCAGTGCTTGATTTTACCTTTTTTCCCATGGTCGTTAAGTGAATCATGCAGTTAAGTGCATCTAGCTTCCCCCACTGATTTTGCTTGTCGGAAGCCAGCTAGGAAGGCCACAAATGACGGTCATGTAATCCCGGGATGCTGCAACTATCATAAATATATGCCAGTTGCCAAGTGCATGAATTTTGATCACATGACCACAGGGATGCTGCAACGGTTGTAAGTGCAAGAACTGGTCATAAGTCACTTTTTCCAGTGCCATCATAACTTTGAATGATTGTTAAACAAACGGTTGTAAGTTGAAGACTACCTGTACATTCATTCGTTCATTAATTCATCCTAAAATACACATTTTTAAAGTTTATTTTAAAGAAAAGTGTAGATGACAACAATGTGGCTCAACCTTTTTTCAATTAAATTATAATGCAAATAACCTATTTTATAGATTTGTTGTAATGGGAAAATAAATGCAAGTATATTGAGACTAAAATCCTGTCTAGTAAAGAAACACAATTGAGTCAGAATTTCTTTATCTTTAAGATTAGTGGATTTTAGAGAGAGGGATGTGTTTAGCTCTCCCATAGAAATCAAAAGAACACATTAATAATCTTAACTATATTGTGTGCTCTATGGTTTATTACAAGCATTCTTTTGTACTAGGTAAAGTTCTTCTACTTACTTCTTCATCCAATTCTGCTTGGCTTTCCTCTGAACTTTTTTTGTTTGTTTTGCAGAAAAAAGTAATGCTAAACATGTTTTTAGACACCTTAATGGCTGACCCTCCACCCCAGTGCCTTGTGTGGCTACCTCTGATGCATAGACTTGCCCATGTTGAAAATGGTATGTGATATATATTCCTGAATTATTCTTTACATGTATGAGCTTTGTGCTTCTAAAGATCACTGAATTGTGTATTACAACCTGGGTGCTCACTGAGACAAACACGCAGTGTGCGTTGGAATGATATGCATGTCTGATCATTCAGTGAACTTGTGCCGTGGAATTTCAGTACTTAAGTCTTCCCTAGTATGCATTATCAAGTTTTGCTTTAGTAAGAAATGGGAAAAAAAACCTTGTTGAATCAAATCTAAGGCCAATCTAATCTAGCATTCTATTTCCCCTCAATATCCAGCCTACTTCTGAGAAGCTGATATATAGACTATGAGCTGACATATTCTCCCCAACTGGTAGGCAACAGCATGCTGCTTATGGTCTTGGAAGTAGTGTGTTAGCTATCATAAGTGTTAGTTAATTATAACCTTACTTTCCATGAATTTGTCTAATTCCTTTTTAAGTCTTCCGTTGGGTGCCTTCACAAACTGTCTTCTAAATGAACCAGTCTTGTATCTGATAGCGTCCTTAGCAATAGTGACATGGACAAGTTTATTTAAGTATACCTTTCTTGATCTGTAGTAAAGCTTTCTGGGAAGATTGATTCCCCTCTTGATTTTCTAAATCAAATTTGGTTATGGTTGATTTCTTAGGAGGGCTCACTATATCTATGTTGATAGTAATGTAGTTACTATTTCCAATAGGGTCATTAACAGTTATACCTCATACCCAGTTATGGGGGAGCAATCTCTCTAATCATTTCCATTGAATGTCTCTATGAAACTTGTAATTTCAACTTTAACTTCCTAACTCGTAACTTGAAATATGGCATAGTGTAGCAATTAAGGACAGGAGATATGAGCTAGAGGATGTCTCCTCCTTACATTCTAAACTCAGATTGTCTTGCTCCTTTACAAAACATCTGGTAAGCATAGAGACAAGTCAATGTGCCTTAGTCTCTTTCCAATATTTCAAAGCTATTAAGCTCTGCACTTGCTAGTATTTTTGGGGTGTTATAGTCTGACTTACCTAAAATGAGAGAGGAGGAAGGGGAGAACTAGAAGATTATAGATAATATTGGGAATCAATGACATAACCATGTTTCCAGACAAATAATTTTGTTGGTTTTCTGGGAATGACTCCTATTTGAAGTACAGTATGTAGAATTCTAGGAGCACTAGGCTCACTGAGAGCCTTTTATCCCGCTCAGGACAAAGTGGCCTGTTTTTCCAGATGCAGTTCTTACTATTTCTCTTTCTT